TGCGTGATCGCTTCTACCCGGATCACGTAAAAGAGGCAAACTATGATGAGTTTGTCAATTTCAAGCAAGGTGACCTGACTGTTCAGGAATATCACACGAAGTTCGTCCAATTGGCTCGTTTTGCCAAAGACCTGGTGTCAACGGAGGCCAGCATGACCCGCAGATTTGTTAACGGGCTTAACTACGGGGCCCAAAAGCTCGTGACTGTAGCGGAGCCGCGGAACCTGAATGAGGCATATAGGAAGGCTGGTAAGTACTATCTGGTACACCAGAAAGAAAGAGAGGCACAGAAGAGAGACCGGAAGAACGCTGATGTGGAGCAACAACAAAAGAAAGCCCGAACCGACCGCCATGAGCAAAGGCAAAACAATCAAGGCGGTAGAACCTTCCAAGGCCAGAGTCAGGGGAGAAACCAGCCAACTCAGGTACGGTACTACAAATGCAAACTATGCCCAAACAACCATCCTGGGAAGGATTGTGCGGGGAATGCGGTGAAGTGTTACAACTGTAACCTTATGGGGCATAGGGCATACGAGTGCCGGAAACCCCCGAGCCAGGGTCAAAACCAGGGGAATAATCCAACTGGGGGTGGGGATAATCACGTCAACAACAACCGTGGTAATCCCGGTAACCGCCCAGCAGAGGCCAACCGTAATCAAGGCCAGGGAGGGCAAAACAACACCCAGGGCCGGATTTATGTCATGAACCAGGCTCAAGCAAATGCCCACGACGTGGTGTCAGGTACCTTTCTTGTAAACTCCACACCTGCTCATGTACTGTTTGATTCGGGTGCGTCCCACAGTTTTATAGCCTCAAAATTTGTGGAAAAGTTAAAGTTAGAACCTACCACTAGACATAATCTTAATGTAAAAACGGCATCCAACAAAGTTGTAGCATGTGGAAGTGTTTTCTCTAATATTCCCATAGTCATATCCGATACCGAACTACCTGGAGATCTAATCCAGTTTGACTTGGAGGATATCGACGTGGTGTTGGGTATGGATTGGCTAGGAAAATATAAGGCCAAAATCCTGTGTGATGAACAAAAGGTGGTCTTAAGAGGACCCAACAAGAAGCGTGTATCCTACAAGGCGGTCACATCTAAGCCAGGAGTGAAGCTGGCAACCATGCAACAAGTCAAACGATACGTCCGAAAGGGGTATGAGGTTTTCTTGTGCATGATCAAAGACATAACATCCGAGAATCCAACCATTGACCAAATCCCTGTGGTCAATGAATTTCCGGATGTGTTTCCAGAAGAAATTCCGGGAATGCCGCCAGAGAGGGAAGTTGAGTTTTCGATTGATCTAGTACCGGGCACCACACCCATTTCGAAGGCACCGTACCGAATGGCACCGAAGGAGATGCAGGAGCTAAAGGAACAACTCGAAGAACTATTGGGGAAGGGCTACATCAAACCGAGTGTCTCACCTTGGGGCGCTCCGGTCTTGTTTGTGAAGAAGAAGGATGGAAGTCTGAGACTGTGCATCGATTACAGGGAGCTGAACAAAGCAACCATCAAAAAACAAGTACTGCTGAATGCATGCACCTGAGAGCGAGTTAGAAGTTGCCTTAGTTAAATTTAGTCTTGAAATAAACATTTATTTATTTAGTTTTATTGTTTTGTTTTAGTTGCCTGTGCATCCGGTTGAGAGATGACCGGATGTGGCGGTAACACCCATTTCCCTATTTAGACTTCCGCTGTACTCTTTAAATTTTATTATCAATAAATAAAAGTTTTTTTTCAATCATATCAATGTTTTTGGGCGGGAAATTTGGGGGTGTTACACTCAGCCTCTCAAGCATCCACGCGAGCCCCGTCATGAACATTAACCTAAGGCCGAAGGATTGGATCTCCGACATCATCACCTTCATCACCGCAGGGTAACTGCCCCAAGACGAAGCCCGTGCCAAGTTAGCAAAGCTGAGGGCTCCCAGCTACACCCTCGAGAACGGGAGGCTTTACAAAAGATCCTACAACGGCACCCTCCTTCGGTGCCTTCATCAAGATGAAGCCGAAGTCGCTATGGAGGAAGTGCACAGTGGCACTTGCTCAGCTCACCAGGGACCCTTCTCCATGTCCCGAAGGCTCATAGTTCAATGCTACTTCTGGCCCACGATGGCTAGAGATTGTGCTGATCTAGCCCGAAGGTGCACCGCTTGCCAACACTTTCAGAAGGCCCCCGGCAGACCAGCGGTCAACTATGCCCCCATCAGCACCGCTATACCTTTCTCCAGGTGGGGTATTGACTTAGTAGGCCCTCTGCCGAGGGGCACCTCCAACAACAGGTATATCATCGTGGCCATTGACTACTTCACCAAATGGGTAGAAGCCGAGCCCCTCGCCAGCATCACTGAAGCCCGGTGCCGCCACTTTATTCTCAAAAATATTCTCACAAGATTTGGCGTCCCCCAACAAATCATCTCCGACAACGGCACTCAATTTGAGGCAGCCCCCTTCTGCGCTCTCCTCGAGGCGTGGGGCATCAAACACACCTTTTCGTCCGGTGCCTACCCTCAGGGCAATGGGCAAGTAGAGAATGTCAACTGCACCCTCCTCGAGGGATTGAAGAAAAAGCTAGAAGCCGAGGGGGGAGGCTGGGTAGAGGAGCTCCACAACATCCTGTGGGCCTACCGCACTACCCCTCGGCGTGCAACAGGTGAAACACCATTCTCCCTATGCTATGGCTTTGAGTCTAAGGCTCCAACAGAGGTGACCCTCCCTACCCGAAGGGTGGAACAATATGAACCTGAGGTCAACGACGCCAATATGGCCCTCGACCTTCACCTCATCTCAGAACGCCGGGAGCAGGCCTTCATCAGATCTGAAAACTATAGAAGACAAGTCAAAGGCTACATCGACGCCAAGGTCCGCTCCCGGGAATTCCAGGTAGGGGACTACGTCCTCCGACGAAGGGAGGCCAGCCTACCCACCGAAGGAGGAAAGATGGCTCCCAAGTTTGAAGGCCCCTACATCATCTCAGCCATCGTCAAACCAGGGACATACAAGCTAAAACGCCCCAATGGGACGGAGGTCCCTAGACATTGGAATGTGCACCACCTTGTCAAATTCTATCAGTAAAACACGAGTGGCCAAGCCCTCATCCTCAACAAGTGTAAATGATCAATGGCCCAAGGCCCCATCTGTTTTGAAAGAATAAAAAGGCCAAGCCTTCATCACCTTTATGTCACACAAGCGGCCCAAGGCCCCCTTCTCTCCTGAAAATGAGTGGCCAAGCCCTCATCTCTTCACCAAAATGGGCTCAAGGCCTCTTCCTCTCATAAGGGGGAACACCAATTTAGGTACCAAGTACCAAGTGTATGGGTCACCCCATCACTCTTTGCAACACCCCTCGGCTCCGGCTGGCGCCAAGTGCCCCCGGCTGTTTGTGTTCCACACACAAATAAAACCCTTCCCAGGAACGCTTTCCGCGCCATCCCCCAAGGGGAGGCAGGCAACGGACCATGTCCCGGGCCCAGGATTCGACTTCCACAAACGAAACATTCCCCGCGCTATCCCCCAAGGGGAAGCAGGCAACAGACCATGTCTCGGGCTGAGGGGACGACTTTCAAAACCAAGGCGCTTTCCGTGCCATCTCCCAAGGGGAAGCAGGCAACAGACGATGTCTCGGGCCGAGGAAACGACCCTCAAACCCTTCGGGATATCGGAAGGTCATTCCCAAAGGGGGAGCCCACGGTTTATTCCGTTGCCTCCCATATAGGCCAAGCCTTTCCTAGAAACCAAGTTTCTGGATGCCTCTCCTACATCATTAAAAAAAAAAAGAGATGTGTAGGGGGGGAATGAACTCCCTGGATACTATTCTCCCCGGAGGCTCAACAATTCGGATATATAATCCCAAAGGCTCCTACAAAGGCACAAGAGAATCTCTCAACAACAAGTCATTTGACTACATAATCGAAGGCTTCACTACATAAAGCCTTGGAGCATAACAGTTCCCCCGGAAGCCCAAGAAGAGGCCTTACCAACAGAACTTCACCAAAATTTGGCTAAGTCCAAGTTTTGGCTGAGACTATGCAGTAAATTACATGCCGAAGGCTCCCCCTCTCAAAAGCTTACTACACAAGGAAGCTACTCTATCTCACACCTGAAGGCATGCCCTCGGATCGGTGGGACAAGTTCATGAGACCCACAACAGCAGGAGATTCATCAAACTCCTTCATCTGAGGGCTCACAACAATGACTATTGAAAATTTGGGGAAATTTGACTAAGTCCATAACAACAACGACCCCCCAGTGATCCTACACTACATCCGAGGGGTCCTGATTCTATGCTACAAACCGAGGGCTACGCGCGAGACCTATGGGAGGCAAATCTCAGAACTTACTAAGTCCATGGTTTTTGATCCCCCGGCAGCTATACGCACCGGAGGCGCAAGCGATTCTCACACTCGAAGGATTCACTACAGCGTCTATTGCAACTTCGTGAAAAAATGACTAATTCCACAAATGGGGACCCTTCGGGGGGCAATTCTTCACCGAAGGCTTGCGACCGATGGCCCCTCTTAAACTACGTGGCAACGACCCAAGGCTACAGTGCTGATCGAAGGCTCAGCATTCCCGGGAGCGTAAGATGCAATTTCACCTGGTGCAATTCCTAAGTCTAATTCATTTTATCACTTAGAAAATTTTTCTAAGTCCACAATCACAAGCCCCCCGGTGATACTACACTACAACCGGCGGCTAGCAGAGAGTTACACTTAGAAAATTTTTCTAAGTCCACAAATACACGCCCCCGGCCGCTCCACACTACACCCGAAGGCTTTGGTGGATATGGTCAAGTATTTGCTTAGAAACTTGGTTTCTAAGTCCACAATCACCGAAGGCTTCTGACTACATTGACACTTAGAAATTTTATCTAAGTCCACAAGCTTATGGCCTTCGGAAAAACGGGCTAAAGGAAAAGGAACAAGTGCTCATAAACAAGTGAAAGCAAGCGAGGACATACATTCATTCAAACGAAGGCATACAATAAAATAAAACCGGAAGCATCCATTGAGAAAGGGCCCGAAGGCAAATCATTCATCACCAAAAACTAATATTCAAGTACCAAAAGATGTTTCTTTACATACTAAGGCCGAAGCCGATAGCTGACGTGAGTATTACATCAAAAATGCTACAAGAATTCTAAGTATCAGCAGTTGAGGCCCCCTCCTCGGCAGCTTTAGAAGTAGCATCATCGCCAGCCTCTTCCTCGTCTCCGCCGCATTCCTGCAACAGCAAAGAGTCTCGGAGGATGGGCCTCTCCACGCCTTCAGGTAGGGGTACCCTGACATCTGGTTGGAGCGGGGGCAGGCCGAATGAATCAGGGTTGAAATCCTTCAAGTCAATGTCTTGATGCACGGCTAGCTTCCGGTAGATCAGGCGTTGGGTAAAGAACTCCCCCCTTGCCAGTACTCGTTGCCCTTCAGCGCCAGCCATTCAGCGCCGGGGCCCTTAACCCAGGCGTCGACTTCTTCCCGGACAACCACGGCCCTCCACGCCTCCTGGTCCTCCCCCCTCCAGCCTCCGGCAACGAAGTCTGCGACAGCTTGAGATACCGCCTCCGCCTTTGACTTCTCTGCGGCCTCGGCTGCTTCCTTGGCTGCTGCAGCAGCTGCTGCCTCCGCCTCGGCTTTCCCCTCGGCTTTAGCTCCCTCAAGTTTCGCTGCCACGGCCTCCCTCTCTAGCCGGAGGGTCTCCTCGAGCGTTGCCATCTGTCGGATGGCCTCGGTATTTGTTGTGACGAGCTTCCTGAGGGCCTCGTCATCCTCCGCCTTGCGAGCACGCATTTGCTCCAGCCTCCGGACATGTTCTCCGAGGAACACGCTAGCCTGCGAACGCAACAACAAATGTCAAAAAAAAAACAGATAAGGCAAAGCAAGGATAACTTAGGCAAACTTAGCATAAGGAAGAAGGCCTCGGACACTCACTGTAACGGAGGCCTGGAGGAGCTTTGACTCGAGGTCCTCATCCCCATAACGGCCGAGGAGCGACCTATCAAGCGGAGGGGTAGCACCATTTAGGAACTCCTTCGGGTCCAAGGTGCCGTGCACGACGGCAGCCCCCTTCCTTATGGAGAACTGCACATCTTCTCGAGGCCATGACTCGCCGGCAGCAGGAACAATGGGGGAGCGAGGGGGAGTAGACACCAACGCCTGGGAGGAAGACAACTCTTCTACATTCACCACCGGAATGTCAGTCTTCTCGGCAGCTCTCTTCTTCGGCCTCTTCTTTTCCGGGGGCACCTGGCCTTTGCCGGCTCTCTTCCTGGTCACCCCCTCGACCTGGGGGCCTTCCCCCGCATCCTTGGAAGTGCCCTCGACAACCGGGGCAGCACCATCCTTCTTAAAGAAGGCATCAACTGGCTTCTGGAGACCGGTATCCTTTTTCTTCTGCTCCTTGTCAAGTCTGTTCCTCAAAGCGGTGATAGCTTTCAGATCCATGGCGGGTCCTGCAAAATACACAAATGTTAGACTCACAACATAGTAAAAATACGCTAAGTACAAACAAAACGAGCCCTCGGCAAACAACCTCCGGCGCTCTGAGGGACCATGTCAATCAGAGGGTACTTCTCATCCGCCTCCCCGAAACGTCGGTAACGCAGGAAGCCCAACTTGTATAGCTCATCCGGGAGGGTGGCACTCTTGATAGTTATTTGCTTGTCCGACCCCTCAGGCTTGGCTGACAATTTCTTCCCGGCTTTTTGGAGGGCAGCACTCCCCACCTTTAAGTGCCTCCGGAAGCGATCTTTAAGAGGCTCCGGGAAGGGGTTCACGGCCATCCTGACATAGCAGAATTTGTCTTTCCACCCCTTGTGCGAAGACGGGACTTCGGAGAACAACCTCCACTCCGGGATCTGCTGCAGGTTGGCGAAGCCCTCAGCATGAGTGTGCCCCCCTCGGCAGAGGTTGAAGCACATAAAGAACAGATCCAACGACGGGTCAATCTCCCGGGAACGACAGAGGGACAGGAAGCCGGCGATGTAGGAATGGCTGTTGGGGGTAAGTTGACAAGGGGCCAGCTTCACAAACCTCAGGTACTCAATCAAGAATGGATGGAGGGGAAACCGAAAGCCGAGTTCCAGGGACAGCAAGTGGACCGCAAAACAGCCTTCGGGAGCCTGGGAAAGTACATCATCAGGCTTCGGCTCTATGACACGCGCCTGGGGGCCGACGAGGAATTGAGCCGTCAGATACTCTGATTGGAGGGCCCTCGATTTCAAAGCTAGAGCAGCGACGTTCAGGTAAGAGTAGCCCTCGGGAATGTCGACAGGTTTCCCCGCGTCAACTGCGGCTTCCTTCTTCTTTTTTGGGGCAGCCCCCATCTTTTTCTTCCGCTTTCCTGGGGCGACGCTGATGGGTTCCGGATCAAGAGGCCGGGAGCTACTAGCTTCGCCAGCGCCGCGAAGAGGGAGTGCGACAACTGTCACCTGTTGCCTCTCTTTTTGTTCCTCCTCCTCAGCCACCTGAAGGGCGAGGGCAAGTTCTTCGTCCTCGACGACCTGCTCGAAGTCCTCAGCCTCCGCTTCGGCCCGAAGCTCTTCCTGGACTTCTCCGGCTATCGCAGAATCATTGTGCGTCGACGGCTGATCATTCGATGACTCTACGTCGGAGATGCTCTCGGTTCGCGCCGACGCCTCCTTCGAGATATTTTGCGAGTCGCTTTCGGAGGACATGTTGGAGTTGGTAGTCGAAGGGTTGGGAAGGAATCTCTAGAACCCTAAGGGTACTATAACACCCGATCTAAGGGCGGAAGAGCAAAACTTACGAAAAAGCTCAAGAACAGGAGGAGAACTGACCTCGGAAAGCTGGGTTTGATCGATATGGAGTTTCTCTCTCTAGAAAACACTTGGGCAGAGCTTCGCTTCAATGAAATCGCACAACGACAAATGAACTCGGGTTTGGGGTATTTATAGGCTTTCAGCCTCGAGAACTGGGCCTCGATTTAAAAAGGCCATCATTACGGGCCGCCGGTTCAACCAATGGATGGCACCCGCCCCCCATCTGCCAACGACAAAGTGCCACGTGGAACCCTCCTCCAACGACTCTATTGCAACGGCTATATTTTAGAAACACTGGAGTGCCCTCGAATGATAGCCTCCGGCTATCCTTCACCACAGCCTTCAGCCAATGAATCCCAACATAGCGCCCTCGAACTGACGGCAGTAGAAGGCTTCGCTTGTCAATGTTGCCACTCCCCGACGCGTATATTGGCTAACACCCAGCGATGGACCCCCTCGGGGAACCCAATAACACATTATAACTCCTTCAGCCCGAACTAGCCTTCGGCCTAAAGAAGTGGGGGGACTAGGATGCACCCCTCGGGCATCACACAGAACAAAATTCGTCATACAAAAATCTACAATTGACGCACATAGCCCCCGGGAAAACATCAAAGTGGAACCCCTCGGGCACATACTTCAAATGAAAAATAAGTATCAAAATAAGTAGTGAAGCAGCCTTCATCACAACACATGCGGGCAATACATCTATACTTTCCTCAGAAAACCCCCGACATGTGAGGGACTGAGGAAAGCCTTCGGCAATCATACAGGTGTTGTACTTCCCTCAGAAAACCCTCGACATGTGAGGGACTGAGAGAAGCCTTCGGCAACCAGCAGAAGACAAGTTCTCCAGCTGAGGCACCCAATGTAACACCCCGGCCCCACCGGACCCGAGGTAGTTACTCCGGACCAATAGTACTGTCCCCACAAACCACCACGAGCCTTTACCGCGCACTTTGTCCTCACTCATGCGCGCCCTGAGAAACTTCCCAGGGGGTCACCCATCCCAAGACTACCCCCGTTCAAGCACGCTTAACTTTGGAGTTCTTGGGTGATGAGCTCCCTTAAAGGAGATGCACCTCTGTTGGTATGAGTAGTACTATTAATTCGTTTATATTAAATCTCAAGTGTTACAATCACCCCCACTTAGGATCGCAACGTCCTCGTTGCGCCCTTAAACCAATCTCAATCAAATCTCAGAAACTTTTCCCCTGCTAGGTGTTTGCCCGATATCTAACGGATCAACACACTGTCGCAGGGTTGCTCTGATACCACCTATAACACCCCCGGCCTCGCAGTACCCGAGGTAGTTACTCCAGACCTCTAGTACTGTCCCCACAAACCGCCACTAGCCTTTTACGCGCACTTTGTCCTCACTCGTGCGCGCCCTGAGAAACTTCCCAGGGGGTCACCCATCCCAAGACTGCTCCCGTGCAAGCACGCTTAACTTTGGAGTTCTTGGCGGATGAGCTCCCATAAAAGGAGATGCACCTCTGCCGGGCGTTTACCGGGATTACCACGATTGTTGTTTTCGTGATTACCCGCACCCCCGGCTTGGTTGTTCCCCTGGTTGCGCATTCCTTGGTTCTGGCCTTGATTCTGGGGTTTTCTCTCATCCAGGCACTCGTATGCTCTATGCCCCATGCGATTACAGTTATAGCACTTCACGGGATTCCCCGCACAATCTGCTCCGGGATGGTTGTTTGGACAGAGGTAATTTCTAGTTACGGGGGCGTAACCTCTCTTTAAGGGGGGTAGAATGTAACACGCACAAAAAAAAAAAAAAAAAGAGAGAGAGAGAGAGAGAGAGAGAGAGAGAGAGAGAGAGAGAGAGAGAGAGAGAGAGAGAGAGAGAGAGAGAGAGAGAGAGAGAGAGAGAGAGAGAGAGAGAGAGAGAAGTCACGTTGATCTAAGCTTATGCTTCGGGACGAAGCATCTTTTAAGGAGGGTAGAATGTGACACTCCGAAAATTTAAAAAGAAAAGAAAATAAATAATTTAATAAAATAAATTATTCTATATAAAATGTTAGAGGTGACATTTGAATTAGATAAAATTTTCACATTTTAGATAAAAGAGTGTTGATTAAAAAGGCTATAAGTTAGAGCTCAACTAAATCTATAATTATGTACGTAAATACGTACATACATAACTAGAAGACTTGACTTGTCAACATAATAATAACAATAATAAGTGTACAAGTAATTTATTGTTAGTGCCCATGCTTGAGAATAAAGATGGAAAGTGTTTACTCTTGACCATGCCATTACTTTGGCTAAAAACGAACGTACAATGAGGGATACACATTTGATACATAGAATTTTTTAATACCCATTATGATATACACACCATATATATAGTTAACGCATGCACTTAAAATAAAAATGCTTATACTTTCCATTTATATAGTTAACGCATGCAGTTAAAATAAAAATGCTTATACTTTCCATTATGCTGAGATTTTGCATTTGTCATACGCGTACTATAATATATTTATATACCATATATGTGGAGAGTAAAACTTTCCTACGAAGCTAATTAACACATGCGTACCTCTAACAAAGGAAAGGCATTTAACTAAATTGAATGTCAAAGATTGGTAACATTAAGTCTGGAATATTCAAAGCTCTGTATAAATAGCAGCACCACCTACGGACTTCCTGGCACCGAGGTGAACGGCGATCTGCGAAAGAAAAAGAATTTCCGTAAGATCGAGAGAAAAATAGAAAAAAAAAAAAAAGAAGGAACAGAGAGAGAGGGAGTGACACAGGACAAACTAACGTCGGGGAGAGAGACGCCAGTTCTGCTGAGCCATTTCCGCCGCAGTTATTACCAGACTAAGAGGAGGCCGGAGTTGCACCGCCGCTGAACGTCACCATCGTCGCCGGGGAAGGCCGGAGTTACACTTCTTAGAGTGTCGTCTGTTCCCGCCATATAACTCGTCTGTCGTCGTTATAGGTAAGCATCAGTTCCATTCCCGATTTCTTTTCCCGGCGTTTCAGCGTAGAAGATGATGGAGTTGCGGTATCATACGGTTTAGTTGGGCGGACTATTTAGTTATACAATCTGGCTGAAACTTTATTATTAAAAATAATGTTGGACCAACCCGTTAATATATTGTTAAGTGGGAATTCGAGTTACAGAGTACGTAGTATAACTTTGTTGGCCTGAGAAATAATATAATGAAAATAATAAAAATAAACTAGGAGAATTTTAACATATTACTGTGGTGAATTGTCGATGTAAGGTAAAAATTTAGCAAACCAACGATTTGGCCTAAGATATATGAACCGACGACTATTGTTATAATCGGTTAGGCTGAAATATCGAAGTTGATTAAATGTTTTGCCAAGGATATAAAAATTAAGCAGAATGTTAACGGAATTAGCATATTTTACTAATATTATAAAATAATTCGGGTATCTTAATATACATAATTATTCAGATGGCTTCAAGTATTCTATAAACTGTTCGGTTAACAAACAATAGAATCTGAAAGTACTAACTAGCGGACATTTTGGAATGTAACCGAAGTAATATGGATACTATCGTATTTTATAATACCTCTAATTCGGCCAAATTAATTAGATTTAGATACGTAATGGATTGAACGAAATAAATCTGAATTTAAGTACCCAACTACGATTTTCACTAAGATTATAATTTAGCCTCTGTACTTAGATTCGCTATTAATTGGAATTGTTGATGAATGAGAGCAAACATAGTGATATTAATCATTTGAGGATTTTAATCGAGTATAAAGTAATACTTCTTACTTTTAATAAAGTTGTCACTTCTAATAAAATGGTAGAACGAGTATTTGACCTAAAATAATACGGAGTAATAAGTAGAGTAAATTGCTTTAACCAAACCAATTATCAATGTCGATTATTTGAATTTGAATTACGTAATTAGGATTAAATAAAAATGTATTAATGTCAGAGAGTGAATTAATGATTAACAAAGTGATTAATTACCGAATGACTTAAGAAGGGGGGATTGGATAATTATAGTATAGGGGACTAATTGCATGTATTCTTAATTAAAAAGGTGACTATTTAGAGACTGAAGTAGAGGACGCGAACTAGGAATTTCTAATTTAAGGTAAGTTTCTCTGTCGATCCAAAATGTTTTTCCTCGTATTATATGTGTATTATGTTGTGTGTGATCATGTTCTGAGTTATGAATATGTGTTATTGGGATATTAAATATTTTTGAGACTGTTTAGAGAAATTGAGAAATATTTTGAAGTGTATCTTTATTCAAGATAAAATGAATGTTTTTAATAAGAGGTAGGCACCGCGGGAGTAATCCGAGGTGTTGGTTTTCCACGTCCCTTAAAATGTGGAGAGTGGTTAGGGTTGCTACTACTAAGAAGTACAGTTTGAGTTTGAGTGACATTCGGATCCATGATCCCTTTTTTTTAAGAAGAAGTTGTAGTAGTAGTAGTCCCTAATCATTCAGAAGTATCCTAAAGGTGGGGTAGTTGGTAGACTGAGTCCCGACTACTTGTGACGACTTACTACTCGGAGGGCTTGGAATCCCTTTTAGGGGGTGTGCACACTTAAGGTAGTCGTTTCGTTTCCATTAGCAGTTGAGGTACCGGCAAAAGTCCCGGGGTGGCCGTACATAACAACGTAACCACCGGGCTCAACCAGAGTGTTGAGCACCGCCCTTCTAAATTACTAGGAAGATAGAGAAGAAGTGATTTTGAGAAATATCAAAGAGAAAAGAATTTTGGTGGAGTGTGCCATTTTTATATAGTATTATATGAAAAACTATTTTTCACCAAACTTGATTATTTTACGGGGTTGGGTAGTACTTACTTAGCTCTAAAGCTAATTTTTGTTTTCTTTCTTTGTTTTGTTTCTGCACGATATTTGTGCAGGTGACGATGGTTATGTTGATTGATGATTGCATGAGTCCGAGAGCGTTCTAGAAGATACCTTAGTTAAACCTAGTCAAGATTAAATACTTTACTTATGTTTTGAACACTTGTTTTTGTTAGTTTCGTTTGGAATTGCCTGTGCACTCGACTGTGTGTGGCCGGGTGTGGCGGTAACACTCCATTTCCCTTTTATTGATTTCGCTGCAAACTTATTCCCAATTCGAATAAATAAATGAAATTTTATCTCTTTTAAATGTATTTTCGGGTGGGAAATTTGGGGGTGTTACACCCAACGAAATGATGAAGCCTCCAGGTGAATCAACACAAATACTCCTTTTCCCTCAAGTACCTTTCGGCAAAAGGAGTGAGGGACTCCTGATGGAGTATATGGCCCAGGAACCCCCGGCCCATAGACTCTTACTTCTCCTACACAAGCCCACTGATCCCAGAGAACAACTCAGGCCCAAATGCAACGGCCCAAGCCTCGAAGTAGCCCAGAATACACACTGGGGTGCCTTCGGCCTCCTCGGCCGAAGGCTCCAAAACTCACAGAATAGCCTTCTCTGACATAAGAAGCTACTGGGAGAAAACGACGAAAAACATGAACCTTCGGCATTATCAAGCCCCCGGCATCAGAGAAGCCTTCGGCTGAACCAAGCCTCCGGTCACACAAGACCTTCGGCTACACAGGGGTCCTTGGTCACATGGAGCCCTCGGCTACACAAGGAGCCTTCGGCCAAACATGCTCAATCATCGAAGATTCCTTTTGGAGACAGCCAACCACCGCATTTAATGCCATGTCACATCCGCCAACCGCATTCAATGCGGTGAACGTACCACTGCCGGTGCCACCCGGCTGATGTGACCCCTCGGCCGTTGGATCACTGACACGTGTACTCTCATCGCATTTATTGCTGCTATAAATAGCAGCCCATTTCTCCTTGTAAACGATCCACATCCAACTCCACATCTCGAGTTCATTTAATAAAATCGACTCTCTCTCCTCCTATTACTCTGACTTCTCTCTAGTTATTCCCGCAATAACCCCTCGGATAAGATACCCCCCGGGTATATTGTCCATCAGTTTCACAACCAAAAGTGGTATAAACATCAAAACCTTCCGTGAAGGTGTTTTCCGGCGAACCGGTCTTACTCCGGTCATAACTTCTTTTATGGTTAAACTTAACCTTCCAAACCCTCATTCTACACTTTTAGAAGTGTAGAACAAGTTCAAATGTCTACCATATGATTTATAAAATCATATGAGATTAAAATGAAGGAAGAAAAATACTAATGAAGTCATTACCTTGATTTTTCTAAGTTTTCTTCATTTTCTCCAAGCTTTTCTTCTCCCTTGAACCTCCTCCAACTTTGAGCTCGGTTATGGCTATGGTGATGATGAATTGCAGAGCTCCCCCATCTATTTTTTTATGGGTTGGGTCGGATGGAAAGAGTGAGGGAGGTGGATGAGAGTTTCATTGACTTTAATTGTCAATAATGGTGATGTACATGACCTACCAAGTACTTTTGATTCCATATGTCTCCAATTACTTTCAAAGCACTCCCCCATAACACTCCAGCCCTCCTCTTAGCTGTTTGGTTGAATAAATTCGTGGGGTGGCCCCCACTCATGTGGGAGGTCATCCCTTTATGTCCCAAAGTGTGTATTTGGTCCCGAAAGTTGTATTTTCCGGACTGTTTTAATTATATTTTATTTTATCGGGTCAAGTAAAATATATATCATTCTTCCAATTAATATTGGACTCTAAAATAAATATATATTACCAAACTTTAATTTAGTGGTCCCCGGAATTTATGTCGGCTGTTATCTGATTAATTAACTATACCGATAATGGGACCTCGTTTGATCGAAAGGCCAACTTTATGGCTCAACATTAATTTACACCATCATATAAATATTATCTAGACCAAGATGAATATTATATGTGGTCCGTAAACATCGGATGGTCCCCGCCCATGTGTGGGCCCAACGTGTATTTTACTGTTCAAGTACAGTAAAAATGAAAACACGTTGCTTCAAAAAATTCATTCATCATTTCTAATGACTAAATATGTGGTTTCATATTTTGTGACACTTTAATAAAATGTTACACTTGTTTTTAAGTGGTCCGAACTGTATGAACAGATAAAATCTTATATGTTTATTCTTATACAAAAATATCTTCAAGGTAGGGTCCTCCAAAAGTACCCACCTCTAATATGTCAATTTAATCATACATTATCATCCCATTATTTTGGGTTCTTAATATATTTAAATTTCTTCTGTTACTAATTCGTAGTCTTCCAAATTATTAACAGTCCGATAATTGAGGGTTCACAACTTCGAATAATGGTCCCGACCCACTTGGCCGTCCAATCGTCGTTCTTTACATCACTGGGGTCCACGACCCATTTCTACTATCCTAATAGTATCGTTTAGGTAAACATTAATATTTTATAAACTTAAAATATCACGAGTGGTCCCACGTCTAAATTAATAACCCTTTATTAATTTAAGACATAATTTTACTTTCTCATTTATCAAGACTATTCTTAGTCTTGATTTACCTTCTTTAACTCAGTACTTGATGAAAAAAATTCTCACAGTAAAATTCGGGTCCAGTGTTACATAATGTATATTCTACTTTTAAAAAAATTCCACACTGTAGTTTTATATAGTGTGCGTTTTTATGAATATTTTTATCTTAAAAGTTTTTTTAGTATTTATCCATTTTGGCATTTTTATTGTTTTTATACTTCTATTTGTATATTTTTAAAATTTATGTGTTTTTTTTACCCCAGAAGGCCAACCACCAAAATCAGTGGGGTAAATGTCGAGGGACATTTACCAAGTTTTATTAAGGAAAGGAGAAGATACACATTGAGGGGGGACTGGGCCAAAACCCCTCTGAAGGAATACATCCAAAAAAATGCTGGAAGAAAAATCAAACGACTTTTGGGGGGCTAGGCCTGACCCAAAAGCTACAAATAAAACAATTAATAAGCAAATCTAATCGAAGAAAGCCCAAAAAGGTCCATGAAATATGCATTTTTAGCACGGGCTGGTAGATCTTGTGGTTGCGAAAATATTCGAAAATGGGCCGGATTATGATCCACGATATAATGCGCGGCACAATTCCCTTCTCGCCAAACACTCGAAAAGGGAACCCCTTTCATTTCAGACCGCAGCAGAGTTTCCTTTATCTCCCCACACCATCGACTCTTCCTTCCTCCCTTCAGAATATCGATGACCTCAGTATAATCTACTTCTACCTGAACATCCGTGAAGCCGACATCTAGTGTTATGTCTCGGTGTGAGTTAGAAGCTTTGGAAGAGAAAGAGAAGAAAAGTTCCGTACAGTTAGTTAGGGAGAGAGGAAGACAATGTATTGAGAGATAGAGTTTTGATAAATGGGGTAATACTGACCGTATTCCCTCTGTATCCATTCATATATTTATATCTTGTAGTAAGGTAAGTAGTCTCGGCCCAATTACACAAGTAAGTAATGTCAGCCCAATTATACAAATGGGTCTTAAATAACACATAAGTTGTAATAATAACAATAAGTAACCATGACCCAATTATAATTTTTATCATCCGGCCCGTTAAAGAACCAATAAGCCTTCTTCCGTTTTGAACTCCACCTCCCGCTCATGTGTCTGCTTCCAGTTATGCTTGGGTCATAACATTACACCCTTCTTTTTTAGATCCTTGTCCCCAAGGATCGCCCTTCTGTAGGAAACTCCAGAGTTTACCTTTTGAGATCCATCCTTCGACAGGTCCTCCCTTTCCTCCCTCGGATAGGATTAGATTCACAAACGCAGACCCTCCTTCTTTACTGCGTATGGCTAGTACAGATGCTGGGGATATGAAGAAATACCCGTCTTGGTCCACAGAAGGAAGGGCGGTAGTCACCTCTGTCTGAGGCATGATGCAACGCTTCAAGAGTGAAACATGGAAGACTGGGTGCACCCTAAACTCCTTTGGTAAGTCCAGTCTGTAAGCCACCTTTCCTATCTTTTCAAGTATGGTGTAGGGTCCATAATAACGTGCTGCAAGTTTTTGATTCCTCCTCATTGCTACTGTTTGTTGTCTATAGGGCTGTAATTGAGTTTTGCCATTTTTGGTCCCTCGACTATTATGTCAACTACATTTTTGGTACTCGACTTCTAATTGTTCCATTTTTTGTCCTTGACTATTGTGCTAGAGACACTTTTAGTCCCCGACTTCAAGGTTTCCCACATTTAGTCCCTGAGTATTGTCAAATTGACACTTTTAGTCCTCCCATTATGATTTTGACACAATAAGTGGAGGACTAAAAAAGTCACTATTATAATAGTTGAAGGACCAAAAGTGTCACTTTTATGAAAGTTGAAGGACTGAATAAGGAAATTTTCAAAGACGGGTAGCAAAAGTGTCTCTAGCGTAATAGTCAAGGACTAAAAATGAAAAAAATCAAAGTCGAGTACCAAAAATGTCAATGACATAATAGTCGGAGGACTAAAAGTGGAAAAAACTCGGCTGTAATTTGAGAAACACATTGTCCCCAACGCTGAAATCCCTGTCTGTTCTTTTGTTATCCGCATAATGTTTCATCCGTTCCTGAGCCAGTTTGAGGTTTTCCTTCAGGTCATGTTTAAGTTGTTGTCTATGGTTTATGATTTCTTTAACTTCAATGTGGGTTGTAGTAGAGGATGTGGGTAGGGAAAGAGTAGGGGGTGTGTGCCCATACAGAGCTTATATTGGCCATAAAAAGAGCACAAAGAACTTATATGAGAATAAAAAGAGCATTTTATTGGCCAAAGATGAAGAGTGACATTACCTTTTGGGTAAAGGAGTGTGAGGTATGTGCTAGAACTAAGCATGCTCTCAACCTTTTTTGGGTCAGTTGCCACTCCATTTTGGGATATGATGTGCCCTGAATAGGAGATGGTTTCCTGCCCAAACATACATTTGCTCTTCTTTGCATAAAGCTGGTGTTTTCTCAAAGTTTCTAAGGCTGTTTTAAGATCCTGTAGGCGCTGTTGGAGGGTAGGACTGTATATTAGGATGTCATCAAAAAATACCAGGACTGTTTTTCTCAACTGATCCTTGAAGATCTGGTTCATGAGTGACTGGAATGTAGCTGGGGCATTACAGAGTCCAAAGGGCATAACTAGAAATCCGAAATGCCCATGATGTGTCCTGAATGCAGTCAGATACCTGTGTTCAGGTGCCATGAGTATCTGAAAGTATCCTGATCTCAAATCTATTTTAGAGAAAAATCTGGTCCCTTTAAGCTCATCTAATAACTCATAAATAACTGGAATATGATAGTCATGTTTGATGGTGAGGTTATTAAGGTACCTATAGTCTATACACATCCTCCAACTACCATCCTTCTTTTTTACCAAAAGCACATGTGATGAAAATGGGCTCTTGCTAGGTTGAATTTCTCCAGTTGACAGAAGATCAACAACTATCTTCTCTATTTCATCCTTCTGGCTGTGGGAAACCCTGTAAGGGTATTGTTGTTTAGGTACACTCCCAAGTTTCAGTAGTATTTGGTGTTCAACTCCTCTTGGAGGTGGTAAGGCAGTAGGTTTTTCAAATACATCCTCAAACTCCTTTAGGATCTCCAGTAGCTCCTCGGGGGGGCTTCAGTCCAGTTTTCATCAGTTTGACCCAATAAACCTCCTCTACTGAACTTGACTTCTCCTCACAAATCATTTGGTATAGCATATGGCTGGTGATTATGGGGCAGATATCTTCACACTGTAGCTCAATTTGTGTGTCCCATGAAGACACAGTAACACTCATTTTTTGGTAGTCATATTTGACTGGGGTCAAATCCCTGAGCAAATCTCCCCCCAAAATCAGGTCAAACTCATTGGTATCCAGAACCCTAAAGGTATAATCAAAAGTATGTTGTTGCATTTCCCACTTTAGGGCAATCACCTGAGTACTGCTATTCATTTTATTTCCTCCTGCAGTAGTAACCCTTAAGGGTTTGGCTTCTACTTCCTTACTTCCCAGTTTATGAACTGTGTTTTTGTTGATAAAACTTCGGGAGGCTTCTGAATCAATGAGTATGTGTACTCTATGTTTACCAGATTTTCCCCAAAGGGTCATGGTGTTGGTTCCCTTTGTCTTGCTGGTAGCACCCAAAGTCAGTAGCACTTCATCTAATTTGCCCATATCATCCTCCTATTGTGAAATATCTGTAGTAGGAACCTCTGGATCATCTTCTGCTAATAACACATATACATGCCTCTGCTTGCATCTATGTCCAGGAGTAAATTTCTCATCACAGTTAAAACATAATCCATTTTCTCTTCTTGTTGTCATTTATGCAGGTGTAAACAGCTTGAAAGGAGGGGCATGGTTGGTAGGCATATGATTGGCCCATTTCTGGGGAAGTAGAAGTGATTCTACCTTCCTGGGAGGATTTGTTGGATTGTAGGCTGGCTTTCCCCCTAATTTAATCCTCTTAGCTAGGGTATCCAATGCTGAGAGTTGATGCCTAACCAAGTCAATAATTGATTCCAGTGTGGTAG